ATTGGGTTGTTATTGATGTTGAATTATGTTGTTTTATTTGAAAAGATCATTTTTTTATATGTTTCTGTTTGCAGGTAGTTGCATTTGTGACATTTTATAACCATCAATCAGCTGTGCTGGCATTACAAGCATTAGATGTAAGTGTGTTTAATGAAAATGTTTCATCTTTATTGTGAGTCCAAGAATATAGTTAATGTTCTAGTTTATTTAGAGCAACCATTCAAAGTTTAGTGTTACATTGATGGGTGTAAATACAAGTAGAAGATAAGATAGACATTGAAGCAATTTGAGGTGTTTGGACTTGAAGGATTAGGTGAGTTAGTGCTATGAATGAATCGTGGATTTGTGGTATTTATCAAAATCACCAACAAGTTTAACAATTACTGGCTCTTGCAAAACTTTAGTACCTAATATTGCATATAGGATTTAGAGCGTGTTCTCTCGTGATTATTTTCAGTTCAGTTAAGCTCCAATACGTTCAATTCAGTTCTTATCTAAATTTCTTTCTCTCATAAAATATTCAGTTCAGTTTAGCTCCAATTAGCTCAGTTTATTTCAGTTCAGCTCAATTCAGTCAATCAGAATAGACCCCTTAATCCTTAACCTTTTGGAACAATAATTTGTAATGTTTCCAATGTTAGGGTATCAAGTTTGATCCACAAGCTGGATCAGTTCTGCATATTGAATTGGCTAGATCAAACTCAAGGCGAAAACATAAACCAGGTGCATGCTTTATGCCCAATAGACACTTTCATGTTATTTGTTATTCTCTATCTCAGTGTAGCTTTACTTCATTTTTTTCTTACTTCATGATTATACTTTTCTATTTTAGGTAGTGGACCTTATGTTGTGATCGATAAAAGGAAAAAATCTGCAGATGACGCTGAAGATACATCGAGTGATGATGGTACTCTCTATTCTTTAATGCAACTGACAATTTGAGTGTTGATAAACAATCATGTTCATTATTGCAGCTACCCATTTAAGCATTGTCTCCCTTTTTGCTTTTCATTCTATTGTTTTTATCTCTGCTTAATGTTTTTAAAATACCAGATATAAGTTTCAACTGACTGTGACCAGGAATATTGATATGTATTTAACCATTGTTCTTCATGCAGGTGATAATGAGTCTGATCAGAGTGAAGACCCTGATTCTTCCAACAATAATACGCAGTCCAAAAGGTTTGTAACTTGGAACATGATAAATTCTTAAAAGAGATATGAGCTACATTTCAAGAATTCCCCTGTTTGCTTCTCTTCATACATCATACCCTCTGGTTACAGGTTGTGTGTGTGTGTGTGAGAGAGACTCTGTGTGTGTGTGTGTGTGTTTGCGTGCGTGTGTGGGGGTGGATGGGTGGGTGGGTGTGAGACTCTGTGTGTGTGTGTGCGCGCGCACGCGTGCGTGCGTGCGTGGGGGTCGTGTGTGTGTGTGTGTGTATGTGTGTTTGTGTGCGTGCGTGGGGGTTGTGTGTGTGTGTGTGTGTTTGCGTGCGTGCGTGGGGGTTGTGTGTGTGAAGAGAGAGAGAGAGAGAGAGAGAGAGAGAGACTGTGTGTGCAATTGTGCATGTATGTGCTGTTTATCTCGTTATTGAGTGAACTTCTAACACAGTGTATGATGTTGTACAGTGAGGAGAATGTGAAACTTGGTGGCACTGTGCCTGCAGCAAATGTTGGTGATTGATTCCTTAACCTGTTTGTTTGTTACTCCTGTCTTTAAATTATAGGCTATACAATTTTATGTTGAGCTCTCTCAAAATAATAGGTCCTTAAATTGGTTGGTAAGTTAAACCCTCAACTTGTCCGTATTATCATCAGTGATATAATAGAACCCTATGAAGGGCTATACCATGTGTTGTGGTGAAGTCAAAAATTGCAAGGGAAAGATATTATGTTAGTTTTCAATTCTATGACATCATACCAAATGTGACCTCGTATTTAGAAATGGAGGGAGTAGCTTTTACCTTTAAGCTGGAAAGTTTCTTTGAAGGCTGAAGTTTAAAAAGACTGTATACTTAGGGCTTGTTCTCATTGACTGAACTCAGCTGAACTGAACTGAACTTATTAGAGTTGAGTTGAACTGAACTGAACTGAACTGAACTGAACTGAACTGAAACTGAACTGAACTGAACTGAACTGAACTGAACTGAACTGAACTGAACTGAACTGAACTGAACTGAACTGAACTGAACTGAACTGAACTGAACTGAAACTGAACTGAACTGAACTGAACTGAACTGAACTGAACTGAACTGAACTGAACTGAACTGAACTGAAACTGAACTGAACTGAACTGAACTGAACTGAACTGAACTGAACTGAACTGAACTGAACTGAACTGAACTGAACTGAACTGAACTGAACTGAACTGAAACTGAACTGAACTGAACTGAACTGAACTGAACTGAACTGAACTGAACTGAACTGAACTGAACTGAACTGAACTGAACTGAACTGAACTGAACTGAAACTGAACTGAACTGAACTGAACTGAACTGAAACTGAACTGAACTGAACTGAACTGAACTGAACTGAACTGAACTGAACTGAACTGAACTGAACTGAACTGAACTGAACTGAACTGAACTGAACTGAATGAACTGAACTGAACTGAACTGAACTGAACTGAAAACTGAACTGAACTGAAACTGAACTGAACTGAACTGAACTGAACTGAACTGAACTGAACTGAACTGAACTGAACTGAAACTGAACTGAACTGAACTGAACTGAACTGAAAATAATCGTATGAGAACAGACCCTAAGTACTACATATAAATTATAATGTTTGTATTTTAACTGAATGTATTCATGGGAGTAGACTGCATGAGAGCCTAGATCTTGGTCTGGCTTACATAGTTATATGAACCCTGTGTCAGTGAAACTAGGGATATGAATGTATGTATGTCACTTGATATTTATGAGTCTAATAACCAACTACGGGTACGAGTTTATTTGTCAATAGCATATTTTGAGGTGCCTTGTTCTTTCCAACTTAGCTTTGTACGGAGCCTGTTTTAAAATTGATAAATTTAGATGAGGGTTATGGTGTCAAATTAGAGTATCTATACCTCAGGTGATTAGAACAAAGCCTAGTTTGATGTGTTTAAATTACTGTTCCTTTTTGTTCCACAACCTCGTGGTGCATTTCAGTCTACTTTTGTTTTAGATTTATCTTTTGTTCTTGAACCATTTCTGCAGGAGCAGACAGAAAAGGCCTCTCAAGGTGATCTAAGGCCATGCTCCACCTTGTTTATTGCTAATTTAGGGCCTAACTGCACTGAGGATGAACTTAGACAAGCACTTTCTCAGTATGTGAGCCTCGATTTTCTTGAGCCTAGTTCTTTTTGTATCCTTTGTCACTCGTCAGTGTATGTCTAAATGTTTTTGCGTTCCTTACAATATGTTTAGATATTCTGGATTCAATGGGCTGAAGCTGCGTGCTAGAGGTGGCATGCCAGTTGCATTTGCGGATTATGAGGTATTACAAGCATATTTATATCTATGCAGCCAATGTTATACTTTGTATTAGTTATTCAGAACCAATAGCACTACTAAACAATTAAAACATCTGGCAAAGATTAATTCTCTTATTCAGTCAGATTGGATTATGCTCGTTTATTACTATTACAAGATTGTTTCAGCGGCCTTTCAAATTCTGTAATTTTTGTATTTCATTTTGTTAGTCATTTTCTTTTTCTTTCTTTCTCCCATTCTGCTGTACATTTTATTATTGATGTGGTTGTATACTTGTATTAATGAAATTTACTAACCACAATGCTTATGTCTTGCTCTATTCAGGAAGTAGAACAAGCTACTCATGCAATGCAAGCACTTCAGGACAGCACATTGCCGTCTTCAGACAGGGGTGGCATGCACATTGAGTATGCTTCCATCTTTTACCTCATCCATTATTCTGCTTTAGTCACCTGATGGATTATGCAAGCTAATTGCATTTTCAATTTTTTTTTTTTTTCAATGTTTTTCTCCAGATATGCTAGGTCTAAAATGAGAAAGCCGTAGGTAAAGCAATATCCGGATATACATGCGATCGTGATTTGAGTATAGTGCTTCTTAAGTGCATTATTGTAAGCAATGGCAGATGCTGCATCTGTAGTTGTCCCTTTTCTCCTTGAATACTAGTTCTAGTAAATTAACAAGTCGCACACAGTAAAAGCTTGTAAACTCTGAAGATCATTTCTGACATGCAGACTACAAAATCTTACTATAGCTTTTAGTAAGATTTTCAAGGCTTTTCAGTGCTGTGCGCTCAGCTTACAATTGTGTCCCAGTTTGTTTTTGGTACTGTATACTCAACAAGATAGACAGCAAATGAAAGAAATATGGAGTTAGAGAGTTATGCCATCTGTTTAGCATAATATTGCTTATAATTTTTTCTTTGAAGCTTGCTATTTTTATTGTGAACAAACCTTTGCAGTTTGAAATCAAGGGGGCGTTTGGTTAAATTATTGGAAACAGAGTGGAAAGGAAACAAATAAGAGGGACAAAAAGAATCATTTAACTCTTACCTTTTCATTTGCTTGGTTTAACTATGGAAAGGAAAAACTTACACCTAAATCCCTTTCTTTTTGTTTAAGGAAGGTAAGGGTAATTGTTACCTTAAGGCCTGTTCTCATTGACTGAACTCAGCTGAACTGACTGAAATGAATATTTTATAAGAGAAGGAAATTAGAAGTTTAACTGAACTGAACTGAATTTCAACGTACGAGGACAGACCCTTAGTCTGAACAAATAGGTGGAAACCATTACCTCTAGGTATTGGTAATTGTTACTAAAACCTTTTAACCCAACACTTGATAATGGTAATAGCTAACATATATACTACGGGACTTCAATGGGTCCATGTTAGCAGAAAACAAAACATTAGCTTCCCCTTTCTAACACAATACTCTGTAGTCTGTATATTAAATTGGCCAAAAATATGGGATTTTCGTAACAAAATTTGTAACTAAACCGCTTTTGCTATTATTTAACTAGTGTTTTTTTTTTTTTTTTTTTTTTGAAGAAATTATCGAACAGGAGTATTAATTCTTCAAGAAAACAAAAGATTCTCAAAAGCGGCATTTTCATTTGTAATCACTTGCTTGGTATATGATAGTACGATTACACAAAATGCATAATTGTATATTAACAACTAGCAGCTTTTACCCTCCTCCCCAAAACGGATTACAATACCCTTAACCTCACCTAGTCACCTCCATATATACAAGAACAAATATATAGATCAATAACCCCAAAAAGAAAACCCTGCACCAAAACTCCTGCAAAACCAATTTTCACTTCTTAATGGTCTGTTGAATTCCTAAGCCTTTCCCTTTCCCACAAAGCTGTTCTTAGTGATTCAAGAGATAAGCTACCCGTGTATACTTCCGTTTCCTCGTTGCGTAATGGACCACTATATGATTCGCACTCCAAATGCCGCATTCTTCCACTGCGATTCCCTACATCATGTCTTGGTGTGGACAGAGCACTGGAATCCATGAACATGTCACCCTCTAGTACGCGCAGGACCTAATATTTCACACACCAAATATAAACAAAGTCTTGATTAATCAATGCTTTCTTGTTCCTATACACTTAACTATCAGCAAATTCTGAACTTCAACACTCATCATATTTAGAATTCTCAATACACAAACTAAACAGTTAAGGGGAAAAAGAGTCAGTATTTTTTACCTGTGACATTCGAGGCCTGGAATGAGGGTCCCGCCGAATGCACAAGGAAGCAGCATGCATCAGGCAAAGAACCTCTGGTTCTAAATACCGGTTACCAAGACGAGGGTCAATTAAATCCTCAATAGCACTCTCTTCCAAGAGGGGTCGTGCCTGTTTAAGATATAAGACATAAAAATGTAAGAGAGCATAAGACTTGATCATGTAAAAAAGGTCTAGCAGCCACAGGACTAATAGAACAAAGCAATGATGACAGCAAATACCCATTCAGTAAGACACTGCTGGCCTTTAGGTCGAGTGAGATCAACCGCCTTTCTTCCTGTAAGAAGCTCTACGAGTACAACACCAAAGGAATAGACATCAGCCTTTTCTGTGATTTGCCCACTTTGTGCATATTCTGGAGCTAAATACCTGCAGTAGATAAGAAATGGCTTTTTTATTAGATTAACATTAACCGACATGTATAAAAGGACTAATAAATCAAAGAAATGGTGCATCAAGACGTACCCAAATGTGCCTATCACTCTTGTTTCGACTCCAGTGTCTCCATCAGGTTGCCATCTTGCCAAGCCAAAATCCCCCACCTGACCAGGAAAATAAAACCCGCAACATCAGAATACTAAAGTAGTATACGGAGTACAATAGTTTTAAAACAAGGATTGAATCAAGCCTTGGAAGGAGGGTGATATTTCATTTTACAATTTCTGTCATTCAACTAACAGTCACAAATGCTACTATGCATTGATTAGATTCCTCGGAAAGATTGGGAAATAGAGTATCAACATTACGTAAATCTTGTTGAAATTACCGGGATACGGATCACAAAAATGAAGTACACTCTCCCTCTCCTTTTACCTTGTAATCTCAATTAAGACACGATTTTCACATCAAAATACATCCAATGCCTCTAAAGAGGCCCCTGTCTTCAGCAGGGATGTCAGATCTCAGATGTACATAACCGGCCCATAATTAATAAAAGAGGTTGTCCCTAGTTCACCCTTGATTCCATACACATTTATTGGTTGATGTATTATTAATTAGAGACAGTTTAATGAATCAATTTAATACGAACCGAAATAGGCATAAAGTCAAAACAAAAAACTAATCTTTGAATTCATTGGAAATGACAGATTATTCTTGGTTATTATTAAATGCAAACTGTAAAAGTTGTAATGAAATTTGACACAACAGTAAGCACTTGAGAAGGTGACTTCTTTTCCCTCCTCTCGACACCCCACTTTATGTTCTTTTTAGAATCTAGGACTCTAGGTAACATGAGAATCACAAGAGTAGAAAATCACCACATTTAGTTTTGGACTATCCATTGCTCAATAAAGTAAATAACATGGAGAAATTTATCAACCATAACCCTCTTAAGCTTCCATGTAACATCCGAACCCCCCGTCTATAGGTGACAAACGATCCCTTGACTGGGTGTGGTGATTCTGCCTATTTTTCTATATTATGCAGTGACGAAAAGAGAATTCTTAACAAGTTTGAAGAGAAAATTAACAATGACGTGTTAATAATTACGTACCAATGGTTCGTAATCATGAGTGAGTAGAATGTTGTTTGGACGCATGTCACGATGAACAATGCAGCCTACTCTGCACTCTTCATGTAGATAGCGCAATCCTCGAGCAGCTCCAACAGCTATCTTCTGCCGAGCAAACCATTCCAAAGGGGGCTGACTCCGTCCTGAAATCACATGATAGTGTGTTAACATATGACAGTACAGATGTACAATGCTAGAGCCATAGATAAGAAAGAAATGAACCATTACATACCATATAAATGTGCATCCAGGGATCCATTGCATATGTATTCATAAACCAGTAACCTCCTCTTGTCTTCAATACAATAGCCTATAAGCATAACCACATTCCGATGCTGAGCACAACTCAAAACTTCGACTTCTGAACAAAACTCAACATCACCCTGTGAACTCGCCAATTTATGTTGCTTCACAGCAATAGCCTGACCATCAGGTAGTATCCCTCTGTGGACCGATCCATAACCTCCCTCAGCCAAGAAATTTGACTGTGAAAACCCGCTTGTAGCAAGCTCAAGCTCAGCATAGCTGAACCACCTTGGAGGCTTCCCAAAAACCGGTGCCTTATGTTGGCAAATTGAACATAGCGGGGGAGGTCCAAGAGGAGCACTTCTTGATAAAGAAATAGCTTCTCTCATATTACCACTATAGTCTAGATCATGCTTATATCTTCGAGATCCAATACCAGAATCCCTATCAATTTCAGAATACTTCTGTGAAGACTTCATAGAAGGCCTCTTTTCAGGCTTCTGAGATGACCGTAAATGTGAAAGTATATACTCGCCCATCCAAGGCCTAACTCCCGAACTTGTTGAGCAAGGAGAAAAGTCTTCATCCTCTGAATCTGAGTCTGATAAAAGATTTCTACTTTCTTTTATAAGGACCATATCACTCTTCTTCAACTTTTCACTCATTATGGATGGAGCAAAAGGCGATGTCCCAAGATCAGAGCTCGACACAGATGAAGTTCCTGCTTCAGTCGCAGTAAATAACTCAGGACTACTGCTTGGTGTCACAACAGGCCCTCTAACCTCATCAAGTTGGTCACCAGATGGACCAGACAAAAGAAGCTCCGTTGATGGTGATCCGACCAAATTTAGTCTAAGCACTTTCGCCTGAGATCGTTTCATGACCACAATGTTGCAGTGGAGCTCATCCATACACCGTTTTTCTTCCTGCTTGAGGTGTCTGCAAATGGCAAAAACAAGATTAGTATTCCAACATCTCACACATTACTGCAGGAGAAGAAATGAGTTGAACATTACTTGTCCAACACAACCCAATTCGCCTGAACCTTCTTCGCTTCTGCAGCTACAGCTCCCGGAGGAGAGGCAGACACAATCTTAATCTTCACATTTTTCTGTAGATTTAAAAAATAACACACTAAACTTAGCTCAACTAACATACATACATACATACATTCTAACAAGCAATACCAGGAAGTGATTAGCTAACCTTATTAGGATCATAGACATCATGTAGCTGAAGAATCATCTGTGAACAAGAATCTGTCAACTCGATTTTTTGCTCCGAACTCGTACCGGCAAACAACTTCTTTTGACCACTAGCACAATCCCCAGCAAACCTTGGGAAAACCCATAATCTCCTACCTACAAATATGCATCAAAATCTATTCATCTAATTGCAGAATTATTGTAATCCCAACATTATTCCGAAATCAAACTACAATTCAATGAAATGCCCAATTTCCCATACATTAATCACTTCTAAATCCCACCTTATATATTCATAATATCATACAAACCAAAAAAAAAAACAGCATAACTTGAAATTCATAAAAGAAACCCAAAAATCAAAATGAACAGAGTTTTGGGAAATCATACCTGAACTAGGAGGAGGAACAACGACAATGAGAGTAACACAATCACCAGGTTGAACAACATGACTCAAAGCCCAAACAAGAGCTGCCTTTGGAATTTCCTTTGAAGCTTTAACAGCTACCAAAACTTTCTCAACTCCTTCAGATGATGATGAACTCTTTTCATTCTTCTCTCTTTTCTGCTGTTGCACACTCATTTTCTCTCTCCTAAAAAAAACACCACAAAAACCCAATTCCCTTTTCTTCTTTCTTCACTACAATTATCACAATTATGAATCAAACAACCCCTTAATAATTATGCCTAAAAATCCAAATGGGTACCCACAAATTTTGATTTCCTTCAAAACCCTCCAATTCAGTACACTATTTTGTAACAGTGACTAAATTTAGCCCACAAAATGTTCAACTAATATTTATTTCCAAATTTAGTAAAATTTCTCAACAATTTTGTGTAAAATTGCAGAAAATAATTATAATGTACTCCGTAATGTTGGTTTCACAAGAACAGAAGCTTCAATGAAGGAAAACACAGAGCATCATGAAAGTCTGTAATAACATTGAAAAGGGCACATTGTTATGTTTATATCAATACTTGCTTAGAAAATGACATAAGCTTAGAGCCCAACGCCTATTTTTGTTTTCTCTCTCCTAAATTTATGTTACATAAGATAAAACGCTCTATATTAATTTCGAGTCGTGTTTGTTTTTAAATGGAAAAATGAATACAACATTAAATCAAATCATTGAAATGACTAAACACTTTTTTAAAAAAAATGCCTCTGTTCACTTAACCCAGATGAATGTACTCCAAATATTTTATGAATTCCCTCAACCAACCAATCAGTCAGTCAACTCTCTCCTTGTATCATCATATCTGTGAGAAAATGCCAAAATATAAATATAATAAAATTAGTAATTGGAAATAGTATTAAGAAAAATTAAATAAATAATTTGTAAATAAAACAAAAACAGAGGAAAAATACTAACTCAGGGGAGTAAAATTTGACAGTTGAGAAAAAGGGAAGAGAATAAAAAGCGGGAAGGAAGATGAAAAAGGGTATTAGAAAAATAAAGGGAAAAGAAGATAAGGGGCTTTAATTAGGAAATTTGAAATTCAAAAAAATGGGTTTTTTTTTTTTTTGGGATGAGAATATCTGGAAAAAAAAAACTGATGGAATTGATGGGAAGAAAACAGGACAAAAAAGGGAAGGAAATCGAAGAATGGGGAAGCTACAAAGAAGCAGTAATTTAAGGAGAGAGAAAAATAGGAAAATAGAAGAAAACAAAGAAATGGAAATAATTAAGTTTAGGGATTACAAGTTGCAGAAGAAGAAGAAGCAGCTGCAGTAAAAAAAATGAAACAAAAACAATGGAAGTTGGAGAGAGAAAAACGGTAAAAAAAAAAATAGAGAGGAGTGGTGGTGTAGTCGAGGAGACAATGAACATAGGGTTGAGATTGTGTATGTTATTTGTGTTGGTGTTTGTCTCATCAATTTCAAATAGGACAACTCTACCTTTTCGTTTCTTTGTTTATTAGCCTAATTGTATTAGTATTAGTATTATTTGTGGAGTACGGAGTAATTTGATGCGGAAAGTAGTGTAAATGTGGTCATTGACACGAATTTGACACTTTTTTGATGGTTGGTTGTTCATATTATGAAATGAGTTTAGTACTTGAAATTTATGTAAATAAAACTTGTTTTGGTATGTAGTCCATCACTATCCAAGGAATATTGTTAACATAAGATGCAAAAAAAATGTGAATGTGGCAATAAAATGAGGATTATCAAAATTGTGTGAACTACGAAATACTTATAAAACTCATGTGTTTTTTTTTTTTAATGCAAATGAGGAGTTAGACCCCGATAAACAAACAACAAAGAAAACTAGGGGAACAAAACGTGGCAGAGCCACACCTACTACATCATTATATGATAAAGGTGTGAAGAAACTTATAATACCTACGAGTAATATGCCAATGATATACTGGGTATTATAGCGACTCATTTCAAAAATTAATCCAAATTAATTCATCTAATTTTGCAAATCAAGTCATTTAAAATAGGGAGGAATATGAGAAGTCCTCATTCTCAAAAAGCCTCGATGAAATTTGGTCTCTATTAAACTTTTAGTGCTAAGGGTCTATTCTGATTGACTGAACTGAGTTGTACTGAACTTAGGGCCTATTCATATTTACTGAACTGAGCTGAACTGAACTGAATTGAACTGAACTGAACTGATTAAAGCTGAACTGAACTGAACTGAGCTGAAATGAATATTTTATGAGAGAGGGAAATCAAGAGTTGAACTGAACTGAACTTAACTGAACTGATTGAAGCTGAACTAAACTGAACTGAACTGAAATTAAGTAAATGTGAACAGGCCCTTATTGGAGCTGAACTGAAATGAATATTTTATGAGAGAATGAAATTAAGAACTAAACTAAACTGAATTGAATTGAATTGATGTGAACTTAATTGAAGTGAAGTGAAAATAATCTAAAGAGAACATACCCTAATTTTATCGAGAAGGAAAAAAAAAATAACTTTTTTTGGGATAAATTAAGGGACAAATAAGTCACACTAGTACTAGTGTAACTGTGTAATAGGCGGAGTAGCACTGTAACTAGCGTAGGATGGTTATACAGATGAGTGAGTTGCAATTCAAATCAGAAGAAGACGCCGCCATAAATAAAGCATGAAATGCAACGCCTCTCTTCATAAAATATTCATGCACTCCTTTTTACTTTATGTTTATAATACTCTCTCACATCATTTCCCTATGAAATCAAACACTTTATAAGTCTCCACCTTTTCTTTGAAATTATGAAGATACATAACTTTGATTTCAACTCATAGTTTGGGAGCTTTAGCTTAAACCCTTGCTAATTCTATTCTGGACAAAAGGTTAATTTTCAACTTTTTCAAAAGTTATTTACTTCTACAATAATCACTTTTGTCCCTCCCTACTACCAAATATTGTAAATTTTCTTTTGTTTAAGTGAACGGAAAGTAAATTGTCATCAATAAAATTTAGACCGTGGATCTTTATTTGCTTTGAATTTTAGAAGATAAATATACGAGTAGTTTATTACTCCGTACCTTACAAATTTATACTTGTACTCGTATAAAGATAAGGTGTCTACAAATAAGCGTAGATGTATGTTTTAAACACTGTTTATGTGATTAATTATATAAGTGAATAGCACAAGTGAAGTGTGCAATAATGGGCTTAGACCAACTTTGTCATTAAAAATGTCAAATGTGGACACTAACCAATTTATGGTATAGTGGATCTATGATTAAATCCAAATGATGGATAAATAATGATATTTTGAACGAGATTTCAACTAAAGCCTTCCCTCAAAGTCAGTGAATGTTAATTACGGTAGTACTTGGTTTAAATTTGGTCAATGATTTATTATTGATTGGTAATAAAGAGTAAAGTGTAATAATCACTCTAGCTAATTCATTTGACGGTGGGACCAATTCACCGTTATTATGTCCGTGGCCTTTGTGACTTTGTGAGGTTTTATGGTCTTCACATTGACATTTTTTGGTCCACCGCCAACACTTCGGTGATTAACGTCTGTTATACCGTACTACTCCGTTTAACTGTGGCAGCGTTAAAGGAGCTCGTGAAAAAAATGAATTATAAATAGGAAAGAGTCCACTTAACAAGTTAACGTATGAGGTATGACAATCAAACGAATAGTTTTTTTAACCTTTTTCAGTGTTTAACTTCTTTTTTATAAACGTAAGATATTTGTACTGGTATGTGCTATTAAAGAAGACTATACGTCAACAACAATTAGAAGTTGTTTAGCTCAGCAAACTAATATGGAATGGATTGGGAACCCATATACCATACCATTGAAACCAACGTGGTATGAATAGGAAACCCTATGTCGTGCTAAATATGTTTTGGTTTAAATTGGGATGGATTTGTATTTACTTAGGATGAAATGAATTTAAAATCTTGGAAGTTAAGGATGATATGAAGTTATAGCGGATTAATGACTTAATGGTACGAGGTTCTATAATAAAAATAAGTTAAATCAAAAATTGAAAAGGATTCTACTTCATTTTTAAAATTCCAAGTCCTTCCAACCAAACAATTGTTAAAGCTTATTCTATACTTTGTGATTAGTATATATCATAAAGTAAAATATGAGTACACCATGAATAACATCATCTAACATTTTACTCAACTGTTATTTGTCGCTCCCAAATTACCAGGTAACGCTCCCTTTGACTTGAATGGATCACTATGCCCTTTATGCAATTTGGGTTATAAAAAGGACCTTGTTCCTCATTTGGACACAATACATGAAACGGTCCCCTCACTTCACGACATTGCTGTCCCGAGCTTCCCAAAATCGGTCCCCACGCCCTTGCAACCAAATCGGTCCCCACGACCACCTAAATTTTCTATTTTCAAAAATCGTTAAATTTTCCGACGGGTCTTGGGTCATGGACGGCGAGTGGAACATACGTACGCCGGAGAATGCGTCACATCATTCTGTAAGTTTTTTTTTCGGTAATTAGGACATCCGCCTAAATTTTCCGGATGTCCTAGGTACATCCGCCTAAAATTTCCGGATGTACCATGGAACATCCGGAAATTTCAAGCGGAAGATGGGATCCGCCTAAAAAATCTGGATGTTCCATAATCTAAAGTCCCATTTTTGACTTCCAATCAAATACAAGCTGCTCAGTCATTGTTCGAGTCTCACTCGACATTTCAGGATACTCAGCTAGTGCTCTTTGGTGAATCTCCATGGACCGACCCATCCACTGCAAATCAAACAATAACATATTTTAAACACAAAAATTCATATAAGTCATTGTTAATATAGTAATAAGCATAAATACTTACGTAATCAGTGTTAGTCCGCTCAGGCAGGTTGCTCGTAACTCCTGCAACTGGAGATACCCGCGGGTGAGAAAACCTGTACAACCACTGCATGTAACCGGGCGCAACCGAAGGAGCTGCAGCACTAAGCCTGGGTAGGGCACCTAAAACAACACTCTGAGATACCCAGGGACAAACCTTTTCCACATCAGAGCTGTCATCTCAGTCGGGAAGTCTACCCGATACATCTTCAAGTTAGTCGGCCTCTTGGCCTTCTCTGGCCTGATGATCTCGCGGGGAATGCCTTGCACGAAACCAAGCTGGCGCACTACTCTATCAGGCATGTACGGCTCAATGATGTTACGGTACTGGATGCAGCCAATGAATAAAGTGGGAGGCACTCGTAATGCAGGATCAGCTCCGTACGGTAGCCAGTTCACCTCACGGTCAGTAAGCGCATCAATCCTAGTACGAAAAGCTAACAGGCACTCCAGGTTCTTGCTAGGACATCCCGCTCCTACATCCTAAACAGACGCACAAGGCATTTGAAGGTCCCGGGTCAAGGTACCCTGCTGTGGCCGAAAGCACGGAAAGTACTCGTAAATCCACGCTTGCAGAAGCGTGAAACAACCAGCAATCGAATCAGCACCTTTCCGTGATGCCGTGCCCAGTTGCCGATACAAGTAGGCCAGTGCAGCTGTTCCCCAAGCATACTCGTTAATAGGGACATCCGTGTGACATAGCTCGTGGAGGAAGGAAGGATGCGTACGGTTACCACTCTTGTCTACAAACAGTGTACCTCCAAGCACTAACCACAAGTATGCATCAAGCTGCTCACTAAAATCATGGTCGACCGCCAATGTCGACTCAAAATTCTTATCAGTCAACACCCCACTACCCTGCCAAATGGTCTTTGTGCCGCAAACCTCAGACAGATCATCTAGAGTCATATCCATGGTGACCGAGCACACGTCCCGTAACACGTCCGTGCTAGGAGTAGTGGACACCATATTGCATGCAACCCGTAACCCAAGTATGTTGTACACGTCATGCAGCAAGATCGTAATCTCCCCAAATGGCATGTGAAAGGTGTTCGTATCTGGCTGCCACCTCTCAACAAAAGCAGAAATCAACGACCAATCAAGTCTCTTAAACATCAGGCTGGGCAAGTGAGACAACCAACTAGCATCAATCGCCGCAATGTCCTCCACAGATTGACGGTCTCGCCAAGTGAACAAGTCAGAACATAACTTTGTCCTACTCAAACAGCGCAAAACACTACGCTCCTGCTCCATCTAGATATACCGTGCCACGTGACCGCCAAAACTAGGGATAACTGACCCATCCTCAGGCCTACCCGACATCGGTTCCTGCACTAACCATGCCTCTGCAGAGCTGGAAGTAGGCTGACTCGACCCACTACCAACAAATCTCCCAAACTGACCCCTATATACCATATGGAAATCCTGAGGGCCTTGTTCTTCATCCCGGTCACCAGCATGACTAGCCGAACATTCGTCTTCCTCGTCAGATATGGGTGCTCCACTTGCAGAGTACAAGGGCCGACTACTACCAGACTGTTGGTCTCTCGACCAACCACTAGTAGACCCGTATTGCTGCTGCTCGGGCTGAACTGGTGAAGATCGAGATGTCTGTCTCCTAACAGACGCATTCATACGTCGTGATATTGCATGTCGAGCA